CGAGGGATCTCCACCATCACAGATCTCTGGGATGAACGAACAAACTCGTGGGCTCCATCGGGGCAGATAAGAGAGAAGCTCGGTCAACTCCCACTCCAAGAACTCAGACAACTAGAAGAGTTGAAGAAGGTCATACTTAAAGACTAGATCACGTTGCTCGGCCCATATGGAATCAACCCAGTGGGAACATGGTACAAGGAAAAATCAGGACACTCCTCATATGTGCTTCGTCTGCAAGAATGGGGTGGGGACGTCCCCGACAAATGTTGTCTGGAATCATATTTTTTCTTTCACATGGGACTCCCAAAAGTCGTAATCTTTGGGGTTACATGGAAATACAGCTGGAGCATCTTGGAGGAGATCCGTGTACGACGTCTTCCCCCACATGCCCGAGACCAGCCGGATATACTTAAGGTAGTAGTAGATGCAACCCCACCGAGGGAAATGAAGATCGATCCAGCAATGTGGGGTTGGGTCATCGATGGTGAACCAATCTGGGCTTTGGAAAAACTCTCTCCCAAACTGGTACATAATCTTTTGGCGAAGCTGCCCCATGCCAGTGTAACAATTGCTACCAGATGGGCCAGATCTTGTCCAGAGGTAGACCCTCCGTCAGAAGAGGGACTGACATCTTTGTGGAAACAACTTACGAATCTGCCCTCTCAAAAGTTGTTTTCATTGGCCTGACTGCAATCCCACCTGGCGGTTCCTACGACTAAATGGCTTCATGACAGACAAATGGAGGTGTCCACCCAATGTGACAGACGTGCTGGTGCCACAGAGACAACGCAACACCTATGGTGGGACTGCCCACTCTTTAACAAATGGTGGAAGTGGTGGGAACGTTACTGGGTGGCTTTCTCGGGGATAATAAATATAACAGGTAAAAAATGGGTTCTACAAGGTGCTTTACCACTGGATGTCTCAGGAGCTAAGGGCTGGGAATATGTTGCACAAGTGGCCCGCATAGCTATGTTTTGGACGATCTGGCTGGACAAAAATGGTAGAAGATTCCAAGGTGAACCCTTGCAAGAAGTTCAGGCGAAAATAGTCTTTCACCACCTCCTGAAAACTCAGATCAAGGCAGATTGGTTGCGAAAAGTTCTTCGAGGTAACCGTTGCTCCGATCTTTAGTGGTTCAGAGAAACATGGACACAAAATGGAGGGCCGACATCCGTTTCTCTGACGGGCATACTGGAAGTCTCAGAATCGTTAGATAGATAATCTGGGTTAAGTAGGTAAGGATGTAGAGAGGGACGTTACAATACTTGGAATTTTGGTTTGTGAGGTTTTTTGCCTTGTGGTAATTTGTTGATGAACCAGGGACACTCGGTTCCAGTCAGCAGGTAAAGTAGCTTGCAATGGGTTAGGGAGGGTAGGAGAGTGCCAAGTCTAACGAATGTTCCTTTTGACCGAGTTTGGGTCGGGGTCAGACCGGAGGGTAGATCTGTGCAATAGGCATAGATTTAGTTGGAGAGGGAACGTAAGATGGGTAGATAAGGGTAGTAGTTAGATCACAAAGTTTGGTAGTGAGTGTTACCGTACTGTGAAAGTTATGGAAGTATACTTTGAAGGTTTTGTTGATAACTGACAGTATGCGGAGTAAGCTAAGCCGGTTGAGGCTTCCAGGATAACACCGGGTTGAATTGTGAGGATCCCTGACCTCATTCATTGAATTGTTTTGAATTAAAATTTTCGTTGAAAGCAAAAAAAATAAAAATTGTGGCTTGGGTTTTCGCCTAAGCTCCATGAGTGGTTACCAAGTACTGATGGTTTGGGGTCTGGTCCAAGATCCATATTGGGGTCAAGAGGGACGAAAAGAAAAACTCTTGAGGTTTTGGCCTACAGAGACGTATTCAAGTATTTGCCTCAGGGGGAAGTCCATGACGCATTGTGCGCCGGATTCGGGTCGAAGTTTTGATGAGGGGCGACAGATGAAGGGGATCGAGGGCGGGTGAGTATGCAGAGGGGCGCATGTACCGAAATGTTCACAGTGCGCAACGAAACGTAGGTGTACGCCACAGGGGCGGGGCACACGGGCGGCGTTGATGTGGATGAACATGTTGAAGATGAGTCATCCGATAAGCGGGCGGACTTTCTTTTCCTTTTGTTTTCGTTTACACACAAACGCACGCACGCTCTCCTCCCCCCCCCCCCCCCCCCCCCCCCCCCCCCCCCCACCCACCCACACACACGCACTCATGTGGGCGAGCGCCCACCCACCCACCCACGCACGCACACGCATGCACACATCCGCCCGCCCACCCACACACACACACGCACCCGCCCGCCCGCCCCCTCCCCACACACACATATTAATATTAATAGTTTTAAGTTTATTGTTGATTGTTGTAGTTAAGGTTTGAACCCACACACAGATTTGAGAAACCCAACTGCCCCATGAGAGAACCGTTGAGGCAGATTGGGTCCCTGTGTAGCTTTGGGGATCGTTTTTTTTTTAGTGTATCGCGTGTCAAGCAACTGGCACGTCAGGATGTGTCTACGTGCCAAACCCTAACCTTGCAGAATGGAAAACCAACCGAATTGCAGAAATGGAAAACCAGTCGAATGGCAGAAATGAAAAGTGTGTCGCATCTCCGCCATGATGCATTTTACAACCAAAACGATTTTTAATTTTTTCCTAATATTTTTCATAAAACGATCACAATGAAATTTATATACCCTGAATTTTTAATATTTTTTGTATATTTTTCTGAGCTAAAAAGATCACAGAAGATGCAGGACGTTTCTATTGCCCAGCATATGGCATAGCAACGAAAATGGAAAAAGTGTCGAATTCGCCCGGTGGTTATTTGACAGTCAATATATATATATATTTTTTAAATATATTTTTTAAAAATATCATGACTCAATCTATAGGCAGGCCAATTTTCACGATTTTTAACCCATTCTTCTTACCGTGAAAAAAACACTAAAGTTATGGTACTTTTTCCATTGGCCCACGTGTCAAAGAGTGGAAAAAATGGAAAATGCATCGAATTAGCATGACGACCATTTAAACATCAAATTGTTTTTCTTATTTTTCCTAATATTTTTCTTAGCAAGATCAGCGTCGAAATTTTTTTTTTTATATATATATATCTTTTCCAGAGAAAATCACAACCTAATCTATGAGTTCCCAAAACTTCAATTTTTTTTTTATTATTAGTTTAAGTGTGAAAACGAACCACATCGGTGCGGCAATTATTTCAGGATCGAGATTTTTTTTTTTTTTTTTTTCCCCAGAAAGATCACAACCTAATCTATGGGTTCCCAAAACTTCAGATTTTCTGATTATAAGTTTAAACACGAAAAATCACAAAAATTAGGGTACTTTTTCGTTGCGGGACAAGACCCCCCGGTAACCAACAGTCGCCGCCCTTCCGAAAAACCTCAGACTAACTCACCGGAGGCAGGTTTTTTGGTGCCAGGGGATACCAGTACCTCGCCCAACTGTCAAGTCTGAGGCTCGGACTGCTGGTAGCCCGATCATTGTCGAGCCTCATACTTTATTGTCGATCCCTGGACAACCAATAGTACATCATGGGAAGGAAAAAAAAAAAAAAAAAAAAAAAAAAAACAATATTTTGCAAAAAAAAAAAGAAGGAAAAAAAAGGAAATCAGATATGCCCAACGAGAACGAATCTTCCTCAATAAAGAGGAAGATTCATTCTTGTGGGACGTTCACATAGAGAGAGAGATGGAGGAACGGTGCGCCAGAACTAACAGAGTCAGAACGAGTTACAGAACTTCGAACGTTGAACTGCGGCACGAACGGGAAGCCGCGATCGCGACAGAGGTAAAGAAAGTTCGTCGGGAAAATCCTCATACGTGACAACAGCTGCACATCCGCTACTTGACGGTAATTTTTTTTCGAAAAAAAAAAAAAAAAACTTCTAGAAAGGCTGCTCTAGGACTTAGATAAGTTTTGAAGTTTATTTGTTGATATTTTAGAATAAAAAATTGTTTTATTGTTATTTTCAAAATATTGGGCAGCAGGGCGGCGGTAGATCGCCACAAGGCCGTAAAGTTCGAACGAAACTCAAAGCAGAAGTTAGCATTTTCAATAGCAAGCAGTAGGATAGAAAGGTATAAAGCTGAGATGAGCACGTTGGCGCTGCACTACCTGAGTAGTACTGGGCAGAAGGGTGGTTACACTGTTTTTTAGCGTGGATGCATAAAATCATGTACTGCGAGATGTAACACCCAATGATTTTTATGCGATTATATTGTGTTTACATACACGAACAACTGTTTTGATCGACCTTGCGCTATTGCTTGGGAACGGTTGATCAACGCCGTGGTGACTTCGTCGCCATGAGCATCATCTTCTTTTCTGATACTGAGATATGGAGATATTGAGAAAATAATACATTTATATATATATATATACATATACCTGTATATACCTCATACACGGTGTGGGTTGATATGACTTGAGATAGGCAGGGCCTTGTACCTGCTCGATTGGCGACGGTTTCTCGGGATTGGTTCTCGAAGACGAAGACGGGATGCACGTCACCATCGAAGTAATCTTCGGACGGTCATCAGCATCCTGCGGAAGGTGAATGCCATCTTTAAGTTCACAATACGAGTGAGGATTGAAGGGCGCGGTAGGAAGTAAGGTACCAAGGAAGGGAGCGGTTGATGTACGCAAGGGGCAGAGGGAGAGGGAGAGGGCRGGGYGMGTGGTCGGGGTGCGGCCGGTACTGGATGGAGAAGCAGGCACCGTCGTACGACCAGGCACAGAATCCGCCACCTGTCCCTCCACCTCCTCCCCCACCTAACTATCAACCGATGCCAGGATTCTATCAACCACCATATTGGGGAGCACCACCACCTCCTCCGTAGTGGGGTCAACCACAGCAGCAGGCGCAACCCGCTTACGGGTATGGCAATGGAGGCTACAACGGATATGGGAAGGGCTACAATCCTAATCGGGCTTTCTTCACGAAAGAGCACGCGAAGCTACTAGACAAGATCAAGTTCAAGGAAGCGGTGGCGAAAGCTACGAAGAAACCAGTGGGGGTGAAGGAAATAGAATCTACTCAGCCAAAGAGAATAGAGGCGAAGAACGTCAAGGAGGATGATAAAAAAGAAAAGCAGGCAACTACAATCAGGGAGGATGAAATGAAGAGATGGATGACGACCACGTTCGGGAGCTCTTTGCGCATCCTAACGGAGAAGGTAGATAAGGTGGAGGATAAGGCGAAGATGACCGAAGCCGAACGGGATGAATTGCGGAAACTGCGAGCGGAGAAAGAGCTGCGTGAGCTGAAGGAGGGATCAAATTCGGAAAAACGAAAAAGGGTTGAGGTAACACCAGGCGCTTCGCCACGAGTCAGGCGGGTAAAAACGAAGTCAGCAGTCAAAATTCGGAGTCGGCCACGAAATGGAGTGCTCGTCTTGTCCGATGATGATGAAGCTGATACATGCAAACACGGAGGAAACTTGAAGAAGAAATTCGAGGAAGCTCGGGCTTCCTCGTCGACATCCGCTCAAATGGAGATGGGGGAAATCAAGGATCTTCCGAAGAGTCTCGTAGAAGCACTGCCAAAACTGGTCGGGGTTCAAGATCACGGGAAGGCTGCTATGACCGAAGAAGGAGATGAACACAACGAGAAGATGGAGACAGTCCAACCAGGGGAAGAGGAAGAGGAAGTGTTGGAGGAGAGGGATGAGCTCGGCCTAGGGACTTACATGAAAAACCGAGTTGAGAACTATGAGTCTATGCACTACACGCATATTCGTGCTCTCTGTGTTGAAAAAGGGTTACCCTACATTAGAAAAGAACTGGGAGTGATGGAACTGGCTAGATCGGACTTAGATGAATATATGAAGTCCTTACGTGAGATGGATGAAAATGGGGTAACGGTTTCAGAACCCGGAGAAGGGGACGAGAGACAGGATGAGGTGGAGAATGTTCGGGAAAACTAGGAGCCCATTCGAAGCGGGCGATGCTGAGGTTGTTCACGAGGGTTGGGATACTTAGGGAACAGGTAAAGATTGATGGAGTATTGTGCAATCGAATCCAATGTGGAATCGTACTTTATGGTTGTATGCAGGGTTACTGGAAATGGGGTAGAAAATACCTGCAATTCTGGGAAAGAATGAGCGGGGAAGAAAGGGAGTCAGTTTTGGATGGTAATGCTTTGTCCTGTGTATATTTGATCTTCTCTCCGAAATGCAAACTGCTTTACGTTGGTATGACAAAGCGAGAATTGAGGATTAGATGGAATGAGCATGAGCATGAGCATGCTATAAGGACTAACGGGAAGCAAAAAATACACACTTGGCTCAGAAAGTTTGAAATCGAGAACTATGTTGCTCTTCCTATATGGTACGGAAGACCGGAGGAGATAGCTGCAGTTGAAAAGGATATTATAAAGAGTTTGAGTCTTGGATTGAATGGAAAACACAAGAGGAAGCAGAGAACACAAAGGAGGAATAAAAAAGGTAAGAGTGGGGTAAGCAGAAGGTTCCCGTGAGATATCCAAGACCTCTGTTATTCTCATGTAAGTACGTTCGACAGGAGTTGCAACAGGACTTGCTCAAACTCATCAGGGAAATCCATAAAAAGGGAGGAAAGCAGGTTGGGATAACTAATACAACAGGGAAAAAATGGCTGAAAGCCTGGAAGCTGGTCCAACTGGTGTATGGTTTCAGTCGAATGGAGAAGGGAGGAAAGAAGTACCTGCTGAAGGATGCTAAAGCAGTCATCGAAGGGGGTGGAAATTGGATTCTATTGGACGTGATTAGAACCAAGAGGAAGGGAGAAAGGGTTAAAGCCAAGGTGATCGGATTATTGAGGGCACCATGAAAAATGAAGGAACTACTAAAGAAGTCCTTGGAAGAGATGTTGGAGATGGATGGCATTGTACATACCTTGAGGGAGAGGAGGGGAAGACAAATTGTAAGGGGGATTATCACAAGGTGCATGAAGAAGAAGTTTGGGATAAACCCCAGGACTAGAATTGTTATCAAGGTTCCTTTTAATCCTGGAATTATAAAGAAAAATATATACCGAGAGATGGAGTGTTGGCTAAAGGCGAGGATACGTCACTCTACATTGTGTAACCTGTTGGTGCAAAAAATGAGGGTAATTTGGGCTAAGACCCGTACGATTGCCAACATTCTGCACAATCAGAAGCTCTTCTCAGGTGGGGATACAACCTGCACATGTGAAGACTTCCAACTGCCCCGGGTCAGCGGGCATGTCCAGGTAAGACTCAGTGAGATCGACGGGATCAAAAGCCTTCTGCACAACTCGAAGAACACTCCGGTACCAGGGGRCTTTGATAGTACACAGGAAATCAACAGGGCCTGCAACGARGGGATCAAACCACTAAAAAGGATGGGTTTGATAGAAGAGGGGGAGGCTGTAAGAATGCGACTGCACCAATTGGAATGGAGGCAACCGGAATTGCAGGATGGGATGGTTCTAGCTGAATACGTCAAAGGCGTAAAACAGTCACTTAGGGGACTTGTCTTGTCACCGGTCGATCGTAACAATGGGGAAACTCTGGTAGAATGCCCCATGCTATATGCAACTGGGATGCGAACTATGTTCAACGAGAACCCGAACTATGAGGAGGTTGAGAAGCAAGAGAAGGAAGTCCTGCTGGAAATGAGGGGGAAGTACAAAGAAGCTGGGATTGGAAAATGGGCAAACTGGGATAACGCTGGAAGATTGCAGGAATCTTATGTCATTGCAAAAGACAAGGATCTTCACAAAAGAAGGCCGATAGTGCCTTCCTTTTGTAACCCAGCAAGGCATGCGGTTGGTATACTAAGTAAAGCGTTAAACTACATGCTCAAGGAAGTGGGGCGGGAGCATTTTAATCTGCATGGGACGGTACAGCTAAAAGAGGAAATTGCAAAAGTAAACAAGAAAGCACACGACTTAGCCGGTATGGACAGTAGGATTATTATCAGAACCTACAACATAAAAGAAATGTTTACTTAGTTGCCACATGACGAAGTGAGGGCCAGCGTACACTGGCTGGTTAATAGACTGCAGGATAAAGACCTTAGATAGATAAGGATAAAAGTAGGGGGTAAAAATGTCACTTTTGGAAAATCACATGGAGAGGACGGATGGAAGTCGGTTCGAATGAAAGCACTGGATGACATCACGAGTTTTCTACTCGACAACACCTTCTTCAAAGCAGGGGGTAAGGTACTCAAACAGATAAACGGGATTCCAATGGGAGGCCGAGCAAGCCCCCCGTTGGCCTGTGTAATGTGTGCTTTCGTTGAGTATAAGTTCCTGAGCTCGATGGGGGCGGACAGACACCTTATGCAGCAGGGAAATCGATTTATGGATGATTTGTTTTTGGCAACCTGGTACGACAGTTTGAAAGAGGGGGAGAGGGAGAAGGCTGAGAAAAGGATGGATGAGATAGACCGATGCTATCACAGAGCACTGACTCTGGAACGAACAGATGGAGGAAATAGGATTGCTACCTTTCTACAAGTAAATCTGATCACGACAGATCAGCCTGCCTGGGTCTTCATGTCACATAGGTTCAAGAATATTGAAAGTATCTGGGGGAATGAACCCAGGCACTTTAAGACACTGAAGGATTTTCAATCCTATGAGGATAAAAAAGCTAAGCGGGCAGTGATCACATGTTCGATTTGGAAGATCCGGCGTAATACAAACACGAAAACCACGGCCTGGATCAGTCTGGTAACCTTCGGGAGGGAAATTGGGAAGCTGGGATACCCGTTAGAAGTTTTTCTAACAGGAGTACAAAACGTTGGAAGGAGAGTAGGAGGATTCTGAGAGGAGATGGCAGTCCAGCTAAGATAGATGCTCTGCGGGTAGGGCTGATGGAGGAACGGTGCGCCAGAACTGACAGAGCCAGTACAAGTTACAGAACTTCGAACGTTGAACTGCGGCACGGACGGGAAGCCGTGATCGTGGCAGAGGTAAAGAAAGTTCGTCGGGAAAATCCTCATACGTGACAGCAGCTGCACAGCCGCTACTTGACGGTAAGTTTTTTTCGAAAAAATAAAAAAAGCCTTCTAGAAAGGCTGATCTATAACTTAGATAAGTTTTGAAGTTTATTTGTTGATATTTTAGAATAAAAATTTATTTTATTGTTATTTTCAAAATATTGGGCAGCAGGGCGGTGGTAGATCGTCACAAGGCCGTGAAGTTCGAACGGAACTCAAAGCAGGAGTTAGCATTTTCAGTAGCAAGCAGTAGGATAGAAAGGTATAAAGCTGAGACGAGCACGTTGGCGCTGCACTACCTGAGTAGTACTGGGCAGAAGGGTGGTTACGCTGTTTTTTAGCGTGGATGCATAAAATCATGTACTGCAAGATGTAACGCCCAATGATTTTTATCGATTATATTGTGTTTACATCTGACACAGTATGACGCTGAGTTTGGTGAGCCAAACTCGGCACCAGACATTAAAGAATGTCGCCACACCACTCTCGAAATGTGCAAAATGAGAATGAACTGGGCCCACGAATATGGGCAGATGCGCCCACCACTTTTTGTCTTTTTCACATTTCGCGAATGATGTGGTGACCTCTCTTTCTCTGAAGATTCATTCGTTCTTGGTGGGACGTTGAGAGAGAGAGAGAGAAAGAGAGAGAGAGAGAGAGAGAGAGAGAGAGAGAGAGAGAGAGAGAGAGAGAGAGAGAGAGAGAGAGAGAGAGAGAG